AACAAGGGTACAGGTGAGCTGGGTCTCTGGCCAGAGCAGGAACAGGCGGGGTGCCACTCAGCCACAGGCAGACGGAAATCAGGAAACGACAGGAAACTGTCATAGTCGGGGACAGAAGGCTGTGGAAGGGTTCAGGAAACAAATGCAGGAAAGTCAGCCAAGACAATCTGTCAAAGAGTGAGTGGAGTGAATGTTGGAGATGGTCAGCAGGTGGAGGTAGTTGCACTGATGAGGAGGGTGTGGCTGCAGGAGTGGCTGCAGTAACAAATCCAAGTCTACCACATCAAAAATAACAATTTCACAAGGATGTCGCTGAGGACTGGCCACTCCAGACACAAGCTAAATTCACTTCATAACCATGACGCATTTTCAACTGCAGAAGCTCCAGCATTGATAGTTTTTCTCTCTGTTTTAAACTCAAGGAATCCTGGGAAATCAGATCCATGCCACTTATCTTTTTTGTAATCAACCAAAACATCATAACAGTTTAACCTAGCCTGTCTCTGAGGAATGACAGAAAGACAAACAGAAACCACAGCACATACTGGAGCCTCGCTGACTGACCTGGCAGACTGAGCCCTGCTCCTCGTCATCCTGTGAATCACACAAAGCTGTGATGGTGGAAATCTGACAGGGACATGAACTGGGAAACCAAAACCAGAATATTGATGTTCCCGTTAAACCTCCTGATGAATAAAAGCAAAGCTGCATTCATACGCTATTATTCTGTATTATTCAATGTAAAAACTAGAAGTAAACAGAATAGAGGAGCTGCTGTCTTCTCACTGTAGCTTTTGTCTTTGTTTGCTTTTTAAAGATAATTTTCTGTTTCCTGTTTCAGTGTAACCCGAGAGAACTATACTGCTATTAAAAATGATTTTCTATTGGGTTTATATATATATATATATATATTTTTAAATGCTGCCATATACCCCAATGTAACCATTTAATATACATCCACTCATAGTCTGTATAGGAGATATGAATATAATTGTATGTTACTTTTTAATTACAGGAAAATCTAACTTGTAAGATGACGGGCTGGAAGGTGCCATTGCATTGTTATTTTTTTTTCATCCGTGCTTTCTGATTATGTGAGCTGGGCTCCTTTGCTAAGCGATGATAAGCAGAATTTCCATGTTCTCTGCATAATTAATCCATCTTTGCCTCTCTTCATGCCAACTCTGCTGTTATCGCCCGCACATGCCTGAATTGCAAAAGAATCCTCTCTTCAATTGGAACTTATTGATATATAAAAAAAACTGGAAATCCTCAAATTTAAGCCACAGATTGTTAAATGGATTAATTTCGCGGCAATCGCAGGCATCTAACGTGGAGAGACAGGCAAAGCAAATTGAAAGTGTCTCCTGTTTGTGGAGTTTTTAGTCCTAAATGATAGGGTTTATTGGCATGTTCTCCCCCACCCTCCCTCCATAGTCAAAAATTACCATTTATTTGCATGCCATAAAATACTTTTTATATGGTTGAAAATTCAGAGGAATTTCTTTCAATGCCTGTCTTGGCTTCACGATAACAACTTCAGCTTCCCACATCTGGACGCTTTTGATACTGGGTGAAAGGAATGTCTGAATATTTAATATTTTTATCTGTTTTCATCGATGGTTTCACCATTAAGAATGGCTCTGCTGTTTGCATGGAGCCTGGCAGATGTAGATTTATTTTCCGAGCTGTCTACGGGCTGCCTTTCAGCAAATATATTGATGCATTTTTCCATTTTGCTGTGCACTGATGCCTCTGCATATGTAATAAAGCAGCAGACACACTTATAAAATACATCAAGGGTCTGTATTATAATGCTGCGTTCAGATGTGGGTCCTCTCCTACTGGTGCACATACATGGGAAGGTGGCAGCATCAGCAGCACTTATCAAATATAATTTACTTGACCTTATGAAAATGAATAACATTAAATCACAGGATGTCAGAAACACATGAGGTGTTCCTCATGGATAAATCAGCGCATGTGTTCCATACGTACCGTCCTCTGACTTACACACAAACAGTGACGTAATGAACCGTGCACATGCACATTGCTGTCATGTACACACGGCTTCATGCATTTTAATCGCGAAAAGAATATCTAACAAATGATGTTTTGCTAGACATGTTGTTTTCACATATAGAGGGAATGGCGTATATACAGTAGATGTGGGTCAGCTGGATCAGAAGGCTGCTTTGAAGCTGGTCATTACAATTTGTTAATGTAAAAGATCTAAAGACCCAATCCTCAAGTGCCAAACAAATGCAATACATCTTTGCTTTAATGTGTATTTGTTATTTATTATGCATATTAAATAGTTTTGTTTAACTAGTTGTGAAAATAATTCGGTTCAATTCATAAAAACTTTATAGGTTTTACCACATTAAAATATTTACTCCCGGGGGTCTACAGTTGTGACTTAAAGACACAGATCAAGATAAAACTGAAAGCTGGACAGTTTGTCAAAAATGCTGAAATAATAAGTTTGTAAAAAATAAAATGCTATTATTTACTAAAAGTAAAAGCAAATAACTGACCAAACGAAGAAATGAGTCAAATAGATACACAAACATAAACACTCGATGCTAATGATTTCTACCCCCTTCTCCTAAAAAGGTTATATTTACAAACTTGTTCACTCCTAAGGGAGGAGCCAGGTTTGTTCTCTTCATCCTCATTGGTTAACATGGTGAAGCGTTTTCATTCGTTTCCAAGGCATCACCTTTTGTCCTTCTGCGTGTTCTCTTGCTTTATTCATGTAAATAAATCCCATGGTAAATGACATTGATGTGCTGAAGGAAGGAAATGGGAGATGATGAAGAAGATGATGAAGATGATGATGATGATGATGGAGGTAGGGGGTAGGAGATTGGGTGATGGTGGTGGGGGCTGATACTGGATGGCATTGTGGAGAAAAGAAGCCTCCACGGACGGAGCTGGCGCTGAGGCCTCCAGGGCCGCGGGTGGTTTTGGCACCTGGAGCAGCAGAGTGGGCACTCTCTCAGACATCTGTTTGCTCACTGCTGCTGGAGCTACGAGCTGGAAGGATGAACGAGGACAGGATGGGGGGCGGAGAGCTGAAGCATTCAGCCACAACCAGCATCCCTCCCAGGACGGAGTTACAACTCCAACATAACAGATATTAAAAACCATGAATCATGCTATTCTGGGGTTTGGGTTATTTCAGGGGATTTTGTGGGATTTTTATTTTCTGTTTTTTGAGGTTGCAGGTGTTAGTTTGGGGATTTTGTGTCACCTTAAGAAACTGAATAAAATAATAGGAAAGTAAGAGAAAGTTTGCAAAAAAATATATAAAATCCTAAGGAAAAACAAAGACAAAGGACAAAGTCAAAGTGTATGGTTCCTTCTCAGGTTATAATACCTGTTGATGTAAAATCTCAGTAGTTAAACCAGAACCAGCAGGTGGCAGCAACACAAATCAAGCTAATATCAATACAAATAAAATAAAAAGTGAGCGTTCACAGATGGGATTGGCTGTGATGAGTCAATGTTGTTAGTATGAAATATCAAAATAAAACCTGAATAAAACTTTAAGACTCATTCATTGAGAGTGTTTTGTTCCGTTTGTTTGTTTTATTCATTTGGGGCCTGTAGCTTAAAATAAAGTATAATAATAGTTCTATTCTTTAACGATTATCTGGTTAAGAATATATTTATGTATTTTTTTATTTTCAATATAGAAAATTGCTTAAAGTGTCTGTACATTTGGAAAGGTTTAGTAGAGTTTTTTTTTATAAGATTTTATATTTTTATATAAGATTATATAAACCCCCATAATCTACCAATGGACTTTGATTCTAATAGACATTTTCTCCTTTTTTCCTAAAAGATTTGTTTAAGTTTGTTCTTTATAAGAATTCAAATTGGATAAAAAATGTATCTTCCAGGTTTTGTTTATTATCCGCACTGATGATTCACACATGAAATTTTTTTGTTTTGTTTTTCCCAACACAAATCCAAAATTCCTGCATATTTTTCCTAATGCAAAACAATATAAAAGGCCTTTTCAAAAACTCACACTTTAGTTCTTTCATTAGCAACTGCTCGGTTGCCTTTTTCTGGCTTTTGCACAACTGAGTAGATATCACACTCACCCTGATTTAGCAATAATTCAGGTATTATTATATGAGAGGTGAAGTCCATCCAGGTGTCAGTGGTAAAATATTTCAAATTATTAAAAAAAATCCGTGTCTGATTTCAACTGGTTCTCTTTTGTAAAGAACACCCATTTACTGTGTGCCTGCCACATACAGCACACACACACACTTGCACCTCATCTGGTGACAAACCAATCCCCAACAGCCAGAGGGTGAAACCACAGCCACAAACTTCTAACACTGACGACCAAGTTAAGCTGCTGATGCTGCTCTTTAGGAATGGAGCTCCAGTCCAGACTGTGGCTGTTCTGTCCCACCGCCACTGGACATGAGAGACGCTCTAAGGACATCAACCCAGTGATTTGTCACAGTAGACAGCCTGAGATATTATTCAGTCAGCAGAGCAGATCAGTCCAACAGAGGAAGATCAAGTCCTGGCAGATCGGACAGTAATAATTTGTTTTGCTTTTTATAAAACTGTATTTGAGAAATAAACACAACATGAGGAAATGTCATTCATTTTAAATAAACACAAACATCAGCTGAAGCCGTTGATAAAAGGAAAACAATTGAGCGTTGAATAATTCTTATACTGTAACTTTCTAATGATGCAAAAAAGAAAAAAAAAGAGAAAATAAATAAACTGGAGTCGCAAGAGCAAAGCAAAGGCAGAGAAGAGTAATAATTAATTTAGGTTATTTTATAGAAAAAAAATATGTGGTGCAATTTTAAAAACATTCAATTGTCTTTTTAATAACATTTTTAAATTATTGATCCTCTTATTTCCAAAACACTCCATGGGATTTGTTTTTTACTTTATTTTGATGATGTTATTTGTTTCAGTTTCATCAGCTTTTATTGATAAAAAGAATGTTGCAGATGGATGCTAAAGGCTAATTTTCATAAATTAGCATTAATGTTCTGTTTATTTATTCTGTGTAGTAATTAATACATGTTGTTAATTATATAAAAAACATTTTATGACTTTTTTATGACAGCTTTAAAAAAAAAGAAAAACTCACTTGACATCTCCACTACAAATTTCATTTCTATAATCTGTCCCCCAGGACATAAGTGTATTTTTGTTATATATATATTTAATGAATCCTAATATATATATTTGGTAAACTTTTTATGTAATTCTTAATCATCCCCATATTTGTCTTTGATGTTTGTTATCCTTCTGTTTGTAAAATAATTTTTAAATTAAAATTTTGGACTATCTTTTTATTAATATTTATTTCTTAAGAGTCATATCTGAACACATTGATGTTTTTATAAATATTATTATATTAAAAAAAATCATGAATATTTTGTGGTAGTGATTGTGACTCATATGAAAATCTTTCAAACCAAATATCACTGTGTTTATTTAATCAATTTCCCAGTGTCCCAGTTCTAAAAGAGAGGCAAAGGTCATTTCCCTGCTCACGGAACATCGATGATAATAACCAATGGGCGGTGGAGGAAGTGGTTGTTCTCCAGTGAAACAACTCACTGTATGAAGCAGCCACTGGACAGCCCACCTCCAGTGTCCTGACACTGAATGGCATCCTCCAAATGTGACTTGGCAGATTGAATGATTTAGCACATTAAATCAACCTTTCCCCCTGTTAATCACATTATGTGAGTGCAGCACACAGCACCGACGGAGCATACTGTATACCTTGACCTATTAATATGACCAACCTTGTGTCAGTGATTTCCCCTGCGATGGAAACAGAATCATGTTAATTATCACAACCATCTGGTCTAAGCAACGAGGAAAAAAGAGTTGCGGCTTTCTCTTCCTCTTGTAGATTTATACCTGTCAATCAAAGCTGGCTTCAAACGAGCCACAGTGGCTGAGGAACAGCAGAGAAGAATCACAGCTCCAGTCTCAGAGGATTTAGGAGTGGCGTTAAATTAATCTTCAACTGGTAATTTGGCTCGGCTCGTCCTGTATGTTGTTGCTCCTAATTTTCATGGCGGGTTTCTAATATAACCTAAAAGTGTTATTCATGGATTTTTAGCTTAGTATGTTTGAAGAGTGCGTCTCTAAATATATATGCTTCATCAAATAAGAGGGGGAAAAAAGAAAAAGAAAAGGCATTGAAATAAAAGAAATGAATTCAGGAATTTTAGGGGAAAGGCAGAAGTAGAAAAGGAGGAGACAAAGTGAGGCGGCTCAGGAGACAGATGCTCTCCTCAAGGTGAGGCGCTGCTGACCCGTCAGTGACATAAATTATTCTGTAGTTTCAGACTCCATTCCAAAGTTGTGGAATTGGGTTACAAGATAATTTCACAGGCCACTTGCTTGTCTTCCTTGACAGTCCAACTGGCTAATTGAGGGGAGTGATTTCCAGTTTGGGCAACTATTCAGAACATGGCAGTCAAAATCTGAATGATTTGAAGGCTCCCTCCCCCTCCCACCCCCACTCTCTCTCTCTTGCTCTCTCATCTTCTCCCTCTGCTCTCCTTTTATAAATATTCAGTTTTTTCCCCCATCTATAGGCAGACGAACTGTAGCTGAGTGCAGGCGCTCATGGTCTGACTTACAGTTTATAAATTATTGATAAATAAACAGAGCATAAAGGGAAGTATTTCTCCTGGGATATTCTGGGAATGAACTTAATTTTACAAAAAGTGGTTAAAACATTTGGACATGTATTTGACAGAAAAATATCTTTTTTTCCCTTTATTTTATTTTTATTTTTTTAATCACTGTAATGTTGAAAAGAAACAAATGTAAGTTAGAGCTGAAGTTATGTGTCAAAGAAACATTTTCCTGTTTCTGGTTGTCAGCAACTGTAAAAATTGTCTGTGAGTAAATATACTATTTTAGTTGTTATTTAAAAAAAGCTTTGTGTTTCTGATGTTTTTTATGAAGAGAGTTTAAAATTAAAACGTCTGAAACGCAGAAACATTCGACTGCACTAATGATGACACAGTGGCCTGGACACTATATGGTGTTGAATGAAAAAAAAAAAAGGTCTCATTTGTCTAATACCACAGTGAAACAGTTTCCAGTGCCAGCTGATATTACAGTACTGGAGCAAAACCTTCCTATTAATTAAACTAAGAGAACTCAGAGTTATAGTTTATAGTTATAGTTTGCCAAATCCTGTGTGCTACTGCATATATTTAAAACAAAGGTACGTTATTGTTTTTTTTTTTGTTTTTTTTTAGAGATGACACATTTATGAATTTAAAAAACTGCAAATCATCACAGAGAATGACATTATATAAAATACAATTATGGTCTGGAATATTATTTCATTAGAGAACACATTTTGTATTTTACCGCAGTAGCTAACATTTAAATGATATTTAAAAACTCTAAATTTGAAATTGTAATCCATGACATCAGAGTTTATTAGTGTTTATTTTATTTTGTTTTTGTTTTTTGACTGCATATTGAAACTGTGGTTTGAATTGGGCATCATTTTATAGAACACACAAAAAAAATTGGTCTGGCTCTCCATAAAGCTAAAGAATTTTAATTTTTTTTAAAAAAGTCAATTTGAAGTCAACTAATCTGACTGCCAAATGTCTCGTTGCACAACAGGAACAAGATGAATCTAAAAAACTGTGATAATGTGTTTTGTTGAAAAAAGACCAGTGGTTTTCAGGGTTCCATCAGTCAAATTAAATATAACAAATAACATTGTTTACATCCGCGTGCTATGGAAATAAAGTATATGTTATCTGTATTTTATTACTATATGAATATATAATAAATATAAATATTTATATAAATATATATAGGATTTTTTTAGTTTCTATATTAGTATTTATCTTCTCTCTGATACTTGTGTTGATTTCGGAAACAGATTCTGATCACGGTCACGGTTCATGAACTAGTTTGAGGTTTAAATGTAGAGATCATAGACGTGGTTAAGTTTCACTAAAACCCTGGCTACGGTGCCCGGGGAGGAACAATCATTATCTTCAAACAAAAGCGCGAAACACTTTCACCTCCCCAGTCAGTCCGTGCGGATCGCGTCCAAGTGCAGCCTCACCATCACACGAAGAGCCGTGCTGAGGAGGAGAGAGAGGCAGAGAGACAGAGAGAGAGAGAGAGAGAGAGAGAGAGGAAGGATGTGTGTTTACAGTATGTGTGTGTGAAGCAGAGCGACTGAGAGAGAGAGAGAGAGCGAGAGAGAGAGAGAGAGAGAGACGCAGCCGGAGCCAGAGAGACCAGAAAGATAAAGCAAAGACAGACGGAACGATAGACTTGTGCGTAAAAAGTACTGGTGCCCTTTTTCTTCCTCCTTTTCTTCTCCCTCCTCCTTCTTCTTCTTCTTCATCTTCTGCCTGTTCTTCTTCTCCCCTTTTCCTTCTCAATTTCCACCAGACTAGAAAAAAATAGAATAATAATAACAACAACAACAACAACAATACCTGCTTGGATGAACCAAAACCTATCGATCTGTCAGTGCTACACCTGGATTCGCTGACCAGCCGCGCAGCAGCAGCAGCAGCAGCAGCAGCAGCGGTCGTGCACCTCATACAGAACGGATGAAGAAGTAATTATGACCAGACTCTGTGGTGAAAATACCTCTGACGATACGACAGCATCAGCAAACCTCATCATGTTTGCATTGGCTCTTATATTAAACCTTAAAATAAGTTTTATTTATTTTATCTAATTTCTCATCAGTCACTGCAGAAGAATGCTCTTCACGACCAGCACTGGTTTGACCTGCCAGGCTGATGTCTCCTGCAGCTGTTCTGGTTTTACGGCACTGCTGAAATCTAACCTGAACTGCAGCTACAGACGCTGGAAGTATTATTTCAGCCAATTTTACCGTTTTATATTATCTATGTTCCTCTATAACCTTATCATTTCTATCTGTGTTTGTCTTCAGCCATGGGTTCATGTGATTTTACTGCTGTAAACAGTGTCTTCACAGGCAGAGGGAGAATATGCTAACTGTTAGCAGCTAACACTTTAATTAGAAGGAAACATATGAAATACAGTTGTTACCTTCTTATCCGGCAGGTCTGTCAGCTGTGTAGGATGGAGACGTCAGGACCTTCGTTCTTCAAGTTCTTCAACTGGAACCACCGAAACTGCTGAAGAAGACGGAGGGTATTTTAGAGGGTTATAAATCTGGAGATAAATATACTTTTGTATAATAAATCAACAGTAAAGATTTGTTGTTTATATGACTTAAAATATTGCATGAGTGCAGATATTGAACCAGTAAATTTAACTCAAAATGTGCTTATAGCACCACCTGCAGTGGTGGTGGAGAAAGCTAATGCCACGTATTCACAAACTCAGCACAGAAATACAAATATCCCACAAAACAAACAAAACATCTTCATTTCCCTTTAAAAACCTTTGAATTCATTATTATTATTATGAAGGAAGCAGAGCAACCCCAGGCAGATCAAACGTAAGTTTCTGCTTTTAATTTAAACCCTGTCCCATCTCCGCTGTTTCCCAGGCTCATCAGAGTTTTGCTCCATTTCTGACGTTAGTGACCCTCGCATTTACCCACTGCATGGAGCCGACGGTGCGGCGCTCAACTATCGCCATGCATGTGGCTGGTGCCTGTCACGGTCCATACGCTGCTACAGTCTGCCTGATCCCGTGTATATGTGCGTGTCTGCGAATGTGTGTATATGTATGTGTGTGAGAGTGTGTTTAAGTTAAATTAGGATGTACATCTGTACACTGTGTGGTCTAAAGCTAAAGTTTCGTCTCTACTAACAAGTTGTGACAAAAAAAAGTTATTTGCTTAAAAGTAATTTTTTGTGTGTTTTTTCCTTCATTATTGTGTGTATTATTTGGTCAGGACTTTACACCTCAGAGCTTTACATCATGTCTAAAAATAACCAAAGGCTTAAAACAGGGGCCAACTCGTTGTTAAATAATTTTATGTTGAACACACACAGACACACACTTCTCCCTCCATCAGCCTCTAACACACATTCTTTCTACACACACACTTTTGTCAAACACACTTTCAAACTTGACAAGGTGGCCAATAAACTACAGAGTAAATATTGATGTCACAGTATCTGCTCCATACACCACTGAAAAGGAAGAGTTCTTTTTCAATACTAGCTTTGGAAAGGTTTTTGAAATAAAGGTTAATATATTTTGCCTGAATTTTCATTTCAAAAACAGTGACGATAAACACAGACAGGAGTGTAAACTGCTTCTCCATGGAAATGTGGCATTTATTTCCATTTCTGTTTTTAACGTAGGAATTATTAAATAATATCAACTCTAACTCTGTTTTGTGAATTTTAGGCCCTACATTTTTTTTTACATTTTTTTCAAATGTGTGTATGCGTGTGTGTGACTTTGGACGGTGTGTTTTTATGTAAATATTAAGCTTCTGTCGCTGATTGGAAGCTTTCAAAATAGCAAATCTAAATTATGATACAGGTTTGAATCTGCAGTGGTGAACACAGATGTGAGACTGTGTGTGTGTGTGTGTGTGTGTGTGAGCGCTGCGACTTTGACTTGTGCGCATGCATGAAATAATGTAAAGGACAATTTTTGATTGACAGCTGTGACTTTGTGTGTTTTCATTTTATCCATTATAATTATAACTTTATAATATTCAGTACATATTCTATAATTTCAAACTTTTTTTTCAGGGTTTATCAAAAGATTTGAGATTGTTCAAAATTTATTCCATAGATTTTATAAAAACATTTTGATTTATTTTAGTTTTTATATATTTTTTAATTAAATCAATTTTTTGTTTTATTATTTTTATTTTGCTCCACTTTTTGAAAAAACAAACTTTTTTTTTTGCGTACTGTAATTCTATTTTTATGTGTACTGGCTTTTGTTGTTTAAACTTCCATCCAAAGGGAGTTGATGACGTGACAGCTCTACTCATCTTTATGGACCAATCCCGTTGCAGCATTCAGATTTTGTTATTTACCGGGGGAGGCGTAGCATCTGTGTGTTGCGTTTTCATCACGGTGACCTGGTCCTGTGTGAATTACTATGTCATATGTAAGATCTTGTTAATATGGAGCCGTTGTGTGTGTGGGTGCAGCCGTAATGAATAATCAAACTATGGTTCCGAAACAGAAAGGTCACGCTGGGACCTATATCCTTTCTCCTACCCCTGGAACTCTGGGAAAAAAAGCCTAAGGAGGTAGTGCAAAGAAAGTCAGCCCAGACAGTCATTCTAAAGGACAAAAAGGTTGTTGGGCACCACCGCCCCTCCACCCCCGCCCCCACCTCACCCCTCTCCCCTGCATACATTGGAGCGTTATCTAAAATTGTGATTTATGCAGTATTTTAATATTTTGCTTATTCTTTCCCCTTGGGTGCTCTCTGAGTGGTGATAAAAAGGCAATGCTGAAAGAGCACCATTAATTTGCTCCGATGACTGAGGAGATAAGGCCAGATAATGGGAAAGATAAGCGGGGAAGATATACCATCAGAAACCCGATTATTACCATTAAAATTCCAGCCCAGCAATCTGCAGCTGGCTGATAATTCCTTCTCCGTTTCCACCACTTTGGATGATAAGGCAAAAAATAGTCACTCACTGCTCCTTGATTAGGCTGCCTGGATATCCCGATAATACAGTGATAAATTATGTATTTTCCCCCCACTTGTTTTTTTGCTGTGAAATGTTACATCTGATTTTTTATATATATAAAAAAAAATATAAATAACCCACCCAGCCCCCCCCCCCGTATCCCCCTCCCTGGTTCGTTTTTCCAAGAAAGCACAAAAAAGAGAAGCCCTGTAGACTTTTATTGTAATAAGAGTTTGATAGAAAGAGGCGATAGCAATGGAGGTGTTTTGTGTGGGAGCACATATCAATGTTATCAGCTCATCTCCCAGGGCCAGCTGCTAGCTGCTGTTGTTTTTAGCCTTATCACCCCGTGCCAATATGCCAATAAATTGCCCAGATTGTTAGCCGTTCCAAGGCGGGTCACTGGGAATTTGACAGGAATGATGAAAATATCACCGATGCTCCGCAGATTGTGATTAGCTGCTGTAATATGATGTGTGAATTCCTCCAAGTGCTCCCTCTATTCTCGTCTTTGCTCCCCGCACTCTTTACACCCCCCACCCTTTTTCCCCTTTACCTCACCCCAACTGCTGCTGCCACTGATGCTAGTCTCCAGACCTCCATTTGTACCAAGAGGAGCACGTTTTGATGCCTAATAGGAAGAGAAGATACCAGCAGGCTGAACGGAAACCAGCGGCTTCCACAGTAATTTTTCTGCAAAATTGCCCCCCAAAGTTTCATAGCACAAGGAAAGATCTGGATGATGTAGGGAGCGAGCCTTCAGCGGTGTTTGTGGGAACACAGTGAAGTGGCCCTGTGAGGCCAAGCACAGACATCTAATGTCAAATGTGCTTATTAAACTGACTTAGTGCTCTTCCCCTTTTTACTGTTGTCTTCACCACACGGACCGTCTGAGGATTCATGCCACTTCCTCTGACTCCTTCACTCCACACCGTCTAACCACAGTCAAGCACCACGCTGTTGTGATTATACTGCTCTTTTACTGTAAGTTTGTGCAGCACCCGAGCAGCAAGTGCAGCCAGTCCCCAGAGCTCACCACTATGTCATACTGTCAAAACGCCTAATCTGCTCTTCTGATAGTGATCTCACATCTGTAAAGCTGCTCCACTGCGGTATATACAAAAAAAAAACTTTTCTATAGTGATTTTTGTTGTGTTTTTGTCCCGCAATTTCCCCTCGAAAGTATAATCACTACACTGTCCAATGCTTTCTTTGGTTAAATTAAGTCAGGTTCAACATCCTCTCCCATCATAGGATCATAGACATAGACTTAGTTTGAACATACATGGAAAATGTATTATCATTTAAGGTCAAATGACTGCTTGGAAACTAAATGCTAACTCTTTTAACGCTAGAAACACCAAAAAACAAAAAAACAAAAATCTATGGTTGTACTTGCTGCAATGGCATTATAGAATTTAAGCAAGAAAAATCTGGTAAGCTGAAAACAAAAATTAGAAATACATAAACATAAGCACTTATTTATCAAAACAATAATAAAAAAAAACCTAAATGAAAGATCAGTGGTAGCTGGAATTTATCCATAATTAGCTTATACTCTTTTAAAGCTGGTTCTATTAAAAAATGGATACTAAATATTTTCTAATATTCAATTCTAATAATATTATTAATATTATCATCATCAGCCTAATGACAATAGGTGAACAAAAAACAATAATGTTTTTTTTCTTTTTTTTAACTAATTTATTCTGACCTCAAACTAGCTGAAACATAAAAGACATTAGCTAACAGAGAAATGTCTGGCACAGAAAACAACTAAAAGTAGATAACATTTCTTTTTTTTAACAAATTCAAATAAAAGGCCATCAGTGTAAACTACAGTTTCCTCAAAGTATATTTAGGAACCACAATCATTTTGGTTTTTACAAAAGAAGTCAAGGTATTTGTCACTAAGTCACAGCCTGCCTCAGTGATAAACACTGAAGGAGATCATTTCTGTTAAAAACATCAAATATATCGGCGTGCGTCATTATTTGCGTTTGTTTATAGCAGCAGGGTTTCTTAGAGTAGCTACATTTTAACACCAGCCTCAGATATTCTAATAAGGTGTCTGATTTTCTGAACCCGTCAGCTTGTAGCTCAACATCCAGCTGAAAGTCTGCTTTTTATCCTACCCACATTTTTTTTACCCCCCATCTGTGCTGTGCTCTACAGTTAATCTTTCCAGCTCCTTAGCATAAAGCCACTTTATGTAATGTCAGAACACTGTTTATCATATCAGGTGACATTTCTATCTTTGAGGGGCATTTATCGGAGGCAGATTACAGTAGTCAGGGATAAGAAGAGTGTTTACTGAATCCGCTGCCAAAATCCTGTATCTGAATTTGTGTGTATGTTTGCTTGTGTATACATCAGTGGGTGTACAGTATGTACGATAGGTTTGTGGATATGCTTTTGTTAGTTTGTTGTTTTTCCTGCTTTTCACCTGTCAGGTTTTTTTTATACACAGCTGCTGAAAAATTCGGATTCATCTCGATTTCACCCTTGGCCCTAACACACAAGTGACACTGGCAGAAGTGTTTTGGGGGGTTACTAAATCAGAAAAAAGTAAAATCGTGTGCTGGGATTTTTAAGTGTCTCTGCTCATACTGGTCGGCAATAATGCCATTTCTCTTGTTGATTTCCATCAGGAAAAAAGAACGATTGTGGAATGCCAACTTCTCCTTCAAACATCTGTTCTTTGCCAATAACAGCTTGTGCTGTCGTCTTAGCTGAAGGATCCCCGGTTGCTTTCTCACTTTAGACACAAGACAACAATGCAGATGAATGTCATCTCCTTGTAATGTTTTCTCTTTGTGTGCAGAGTAAAGTGTTCATTGTGTAGAGGAAGCCTTTGTGCTCGAAACTCTGCGTTTACT